ATCCACCCGAAGCTGCTTTTTGCAAGCAGTGGGTCATGGGAGGTGGGCAACCTCACATGCGAAAACATCGCTAGGCTTGAATTTCCCAAAATTTGTGAAGCTGGAAGTTCGAAAAAATCGCCAGACTCATGCATACATACATGCATGCACACATGCTTACATGTATGCATGCATGCATGCCTACGTACGTACATACACACACTTATACACACACACACACACACACATTTACGCGACATATATACGCGCACTTGGATTGCATGATGCTGCATTTTGGATTCTGTGCATAGGCTACAGCATTCCCTCTTTTGTGTAAGACGTTACTGTTGTTTTCTACGTCCCTGTACGTTGCATACCGCTCTAAGTGTGTAACATCCTGTGCTTGTCGTATTTTCTCGTATACCTGACTCCTCTTCATTGGGTTCTACTATCTAAGGTTCTACCTTTGAAACCTTGCTTCGATCCGCCAGCCATGCAAGGGGCAAAAACTATCAAAGGTCAGGGCAATAAGTACAACTCCAGTGAATTACATCCTTATTGGATTGGTCACAACGTCGTCATATTGACTGACTTACCAAGCCATGCAGGAGGCAAAAAACTATCAAAGGTCGCATAGGACTACACTGTCTGCGGTTTTCCGTTGCACTACGTTGTTGTGCTGCCCCAATGCTTTCTGCATGCAGCCTGCGTTAGAAAAGATGCTCCCGAAACTTGAGGGCAGAGGTCACAGCGAGGTCAGTGTCGGAGTTGCCAGGCTATGTTTCGATCATGTGGTTGGTTTAATCCCGCCTTACGTCAAGTCGGAACTGAATACGGAAGAAGTTTCAGGTGAGCTACGCCTCCTTCAACCCGGAGGATTACATGCCTGCTGGAGCCCCACCGTCGTATTGCTGAACCAGTTTCATCGCTTGCCTCGATCATTTGGCCAAGCTATTGGCCGGCTCAGGTCGCTTCCTACAGCCCTTCCCTCATCATGGCTGACCATGACACCACAGAGCAGCCGCTTGGCTAAGAGCAAGATTGGCGAGCTTTGGCAGTCATGCCTGGTCGGATATTTACAGAGACAGATGTGCCCCACACATGGAACACAGGTCATCGAGAAGCTGGCGAAAACTGATATAGAGTTCCTAGAGTGTAAGCTCAGGCAAGGGACAAAGGCCATCTATGCTCTCGGCAATCGGCGCAGTAGTTTCCAGCATCTGATATGAATTGCAATGCTGAACTATGAGGATTGTATGGCGATGGTGCTGGTGGCAGATACTCTTTTGACGGTATTCATGATGAAGATGACGACGACAAGGATGATGTTGAGCATGGTCTGATTGTCGACTCATGTCCCGGTCTAGAGCAGCACAACATCATGAGCAGTATCACCGGTGCCACAGCAAGCGGGAAGACAAGGAGTAACACGTAAGAACGTCGCGGCAAAAAGAGTACCACAACAGGCCCCACACCACAGGGGGGGGGGGGGCGGGGGGGAAGGGGGGAGGATACCATGGGGTGAGGGGGAGGGGGGTGTGGCAGCTCTGCATCATCTATCCAGGCTTGTTGTGATAATCACTCCGAAGTCTGGACCTTTGTTTGTTGGTGCATGGTGGGCACGGAAGCAGTTTTTGATCATTTGAAAGAGCTGAGCGATCCCTGCATAATTCCCTGCCCCGGAAGCTGCCAAGGAACTACAGAAGCGCCTGGGAATTTGCCAAAGGCGGGTCGTGTGTAAAGCCGAAAGTTTTCAGGAAATCTGGTGTCTTCGGGGATGGGCTATCGCTTCTGCAGCCGCCTCTTCCAATTCGTCAAGTTGTCACAGCGCGAAAGCTCAACCTTCATCACCCGAACAAAGGGAACTTCATCCTCATCGTGCCAGGTAAGGGCATTGCTGAGGAAAGGCTGCAGAAGGCTGTTCGCAAGGCACTGGGGAGCGTGTGGCACTCGTTCCTTCGTTCTTATTCTTGGTTCGGGTTGTTGGGCTTCTCTCTGAACGATGCCTTGTCAGAGTCGACAGGGGCTTCAGCATTGCATGGCCTTGGTCACTTGGCCCCCGTCTTCCTGGTTGTTGAGTTGCATCATGGCCAGGAGCAGGTGTTCGTCGTTAAATTCACGTACGAGCCCCTTAACAACGGCATGTACACCGGCCATGGGTTAGTGTTCCTTGGATGCACGAGAAAGGGAGGGAGAGAGAGAGAGAGAGGCTCGCCCCTGGGCCTTCTGAAAGAAAGAGAGAGAACCGGGCCAAAGAAGGAGAGAGAGAAGGAGACATGAGTCCACACACTGCAAGACGGCAGAGCTCGCGAAAGTGCGGGCAAGGGCTTGACAGTTCCGTCCTTGCTCGTCCCGCCACCCACAGAAAGAAAGACATGAGGACGATTGCGGAGAGGCAGAAAGAGAGAGAGAGAGAGAGAGAGAGACAACTAGTTTTAAAAAGGGGCATTGCAGATATGATATTCCCATGAGTCGCCGAGGAGAGCTAGCTTTTCTGCGTGTGATACACATGCACTCCGCCAACAAACGGGCGGCTCCTGCGGGGGCTCGCCCTCAGGCCCGGAGAAAGAAAGAGAGAGAGATTAGCAAGCAAGCAAGCAAGCAAGAGAGAGAGGGTGTATGCCAGCGAGCGAGCGGGAGAGAGAGAGAGAGAGTGATTGGGGGAGTTCCCAGAAGACTGAGAGAAAGCAAAAGACAGTTGTTCCAAGGGGTAACCGGAAACCACCCTCAACTCGCAAGCCAGCTTCGATTTCCGAAACGAATTCCAAGGAAGCGGATGCTCCCCGAGTACGGCAAGTGGCTCAGCTCCCTCCTCACGGCCAAGCCGGATCTCCAGGCCTCTGAACTCGGTTCCGGGCATCCGTCGAATGTTTTGGTTTGGAGTTTCGGGGCTTGACGTCGTTTGTTAGGGGTCTTGGGCATTGAAGCTTCAAAGATTGGAGTGAAACACTCTGCATGTCTGAGGCCTTGGGGCTGGACACTCTAAGGCGTTTTTGTTGTTTCCGCGTTCGCAGTCGAACTCCGGGTTCCTGCAGGCTTGTCGGATTGCGGAGCTGCAGGGTCTTGAAGCACAGAGGTGCGAGGTGCGAGGCTGCCCATTTTGGCTTGAAAGGCACCCGAGCAGATGTCGCTTTCCATTCCCATCCTAGAGTCTACCCGCCGCCTGGCGATGAAAATGATGGGATTGACAATTGAGCACTTCGGCACGTGAGGGTTCGGGGACGGCAGCAGATCAAGAGGCGTGGATCAAAGCCTCGTCGCCTGATTAGGGTCCCGCTTCTGTGGAACTTTTGTTGTTCGGTCAGGTTAAGGTTCCACACGCAACGTTTACTCTTTCAGGCAGCTCTGCATTTTGAGGTCAAGTGTTCTTGCAGAATTCTGCTGCCGGCAGTGGTGACTGCGGTGTGGGTGTCAACACAGCAGCGCCTGTATGCAACTTGTCATGCATACTGAATTTGGACGTTGAAGATTTGCGGTTGCAGACGGGTCCAGAACTACCATGTGAGCAGTGTGCAGCGTGCATCCATCAAGCCGAGAACCTTAAACAGCCCGTCGGTTCCTTTTTGTTCACCCCGTTTGCCAACCTCAGGTGGGATCTCTGCGTGCTCGTGCCAGTGATTTTTCCTCCGAAGCAGAGCTTCTCAAAAACGGAGTTCCTGCAATGCTCGGATTAAAAAGTCAGCTCAAGATGCTAACTTATACAAGCTACGTGAGGAGCTTTGAGAAGCCTGCCTGGGCAGGCTATCCTCATCAGCCCAGAAATTGGTGCTCACAATATGACAGGTGCTGCATTAGATCTGCCTTCGTTCTGGACCCCCGAGCTCAGGTTAGCACTGATCTGAATACTCGAGCGGGCTGCTTGAATCTTATGAGCACCTGCAACCTCTTTTGGCGCATCGGGCAAAGACTGCCCTCTCTAGCATCCAGCTGCTTGACCCCAGGCGTCGGAACGCCGCGCAGGCGTGTGCGGCCAGACTCATTACGTTTCACTGGCCTACGCCCTGAGCTTGGGCTGCGGCATTTGAGAACAGGTTAGAAAGGTGGACAGCTCTTTTGTATTCTATTGCCTATTGCTCGACATGCATCTTGTTTAGCCTTGTTTGGGACTCGAGGGACTCGATTCTCACCGTTGCATTGCCACGGAACCATCGTCCACACTGCGGCTTGGCCGTACGAAGTTGTGGGCCGCAAGCCTGAAAATTGCTGGGTCACAGACCCCCAGGGCCCCCATCCCTTACCAACCCGCGACCGCCTCAGTGCAAACTCCTAATATTATGTTTGCAGCTAAGCGGCCATGAAGACATTCATCGTGGCGAGACCTCCAATCCCTGGCTCGTCCCAGCACCCCATGCCAGAAACTATCCGAAATTGAACTCCTGGGATGAGCTGGGGACCCTGGGGAAGTAACCGCTCGATTCTTTCGTCAGACATGTGTGCGGGGGGCTGTTCCAATTTTTTGAGGTCCTGTTTTCCAAGGCGCAGTTGCCAAGACTCAGATGCAGTAGATGCAGTTGCAAGACATTTAGGAGTTTAGGTTGACCGTGCCAAGTTCTGCGTTGATGCAGGGTGTGTGGGCGGACACTATCCGAGAACAGCCCCATCCGCTGTTTGGCCCCCGCCTCTACGAAGAAGTCTCTAAGAGACGCGAAGCAAAATTGGAGATGTGAATGGTGGCTTTGTCGCGATACTCTACGAAGGAATCGACACATCACGGCCAGAAGTCAGAGGAATATTCACTGTTCATAAAGTCCGGGAGTTAGGGTCCTAATACCTCGCGGCAGTACCTTGGATGCTTCTTCTAATGGAGAATGGGACTCGTGCATTGAAGTCGATTACTCAAGACACACACGCACACATGCATTCTTCACAAGATAGTACAGCATTGAACCGTGCAGCACAGCAAAGTTGAGCGTGTCTCGTCACACAGTGGTGCATCATGACGATGGTGCTGTAGAGAGTCAGCACGCCCCAGCATGGCGGACATCGTTCTGTAGCATAGCTCGATCGGTGGATTCTGGAAGGCTGGCAGCCTCCGACGAAGGCCAGCAGCGGAGGCCGTGGAGCCCGAACGAGTCCAGATTATTCCGCCAACTCATCATCATCATCATTTTGTCAAGTACCGTTTCGTTTTCATTCTTTCTTATCAGTTGTCATCATGTTCATTTCACTTTCATTATAATATTGTTATCGATTTTGATATCCCGCCGTCCTGTCGGAAAGGCAGGACGGGAATCCTGAGTTTTTGCGAAGTGAGGCCCTTCTCGCTTGACTGCTCTGCACGTGTCCGTTTTCCAGGGGTGGTTTCTAATGTTTCAGAGAAATGGACTTAAACAAATGTAGCCTGAGGGGAGGATGAGTCTTCAGGCACAGTCACTTTATGTGTTGGCATAGCATTGTTGGTGAGATGCTGACGATTCCTCCTGGTGCACTCCGAACCACATGCCTCGCCTGGATTGTCCGAGTGTGAGGAAAGTAGATAAATTGGGCCCGCCGCCGAGTCGACGTTGTTGAAGGCATCTCCGGTCATTGTTCTCTGCTGGGAGCTGCAAAGTCAAGGCCCAACGGCAAAAAGAACCTTCAATGCTCAGCGTCTAGCACCTGTCAAGTCCCGAACCCTGCCATAGACTTATGAAGTTCTAAGGAATCCACAGACTTCACATCTACAAACAAATGTTAGATTTTGTCGTCGTGTTTATCATTTGAGGCATCGCTTTGTTTGGTCATCGTTCTCGTTATCCCCGCTTCCATCATCTGGGGACGGTTTGCGGCGAGGGTAGGAGGTAGGTCCAGGTGCTGACTATGCAGGCAAACCCATACAGACATGATCATAACATGAATATATTTGTTTATTTATGTATATGTATAGATCTTAGCGAGCACAAAGTCAGAATAGTATAGTATTTTGATTATAAGAAATAATAGCAAACAGCGTAGTAAGTAACATTGTAGTTTCATAGGAAAAATGCTTCCTGAGGCTTGCCTCATTTACCGAAATTTCAAGTTTTGCAGTTCGGCTTTTCCACCGGTTCTTTGCCACCGAATGACGGCAGAATTTCGGAAAGCAACATAGAAACAGAATGACAACACATGGTATTAACACGGCCATGAAATGAATATTTCCTGAGACTCATCAGTTCCTGAAAATTGCAGGATTGCCGCCTGGCCGATCCGTCCGGCCCTTTCCACCAACTCACTAGATTCGCTAGATAATGATGGAAAGGATGAATAACCGATAGCAAATGAGAATACCCTCAGAATGCAAAGCTTCCGGGAGACCGCAGAACCAGGAAGAACCTCCCGATAGCAGAAGAGCGGAAAAATGCAAGACATCTTGGACTCGGGATTGCTTGCTAGGGTGGTAGCCGCGACAGAACTCCGACCGGCGAGGTCGTGTCAAAGCTGGGCAGGCGCGCGCCACAAGCTGACGGTGATACAACTGATGCTAAATCTACCATCGGTTCTTCTGCGGATGTGGGGGCAGAATACGTCTTGCCGCACATGCAACCTACTTCGTCCACAGGTTTGTAAGCTAGCTAGTTACAGTGACTGTAAAGCTTGCTTGCATTGCCAGGGGCTTGCTCCAAGTCTACAATGCATCGGACCCAGATGTGGAAGTACCCGCAGGCTTGAAACGAAAGGGTCCACTCAACACCGCATGGCTTTCACGGCACCAATCTGTCAAACACTGATTCTCAATATGACCTCCAAGCAGAAGAAGCGTCTAGAAGTTTTACTGAACATCGAGGCCCGTCCATACATGGCGCCTGTGGCCGTGTACCGGCCTTGGCTGCTTCCGAAGACATGCTTGGCATAGCATGGATCTTGATCCGCCGCCGGATGCAAATATTCAAGTTTCCAAACAAACATATTGATCATACTGACAAAATGGCCCTAGGTCAATCCTGGCCGACACATGTGGAGACCTCTGCCAGGGTGGGCACTACACACAAGTGCCCGAGGCCTTTCTTCTTTCTCTGGTGCTGACCGCCTAGTTCTGCAGATGCCGTTTGTCTTGTCGCGGTGTTTGGAAGTGAAAGCTGCGTCAGGAGAGCACTCGAGTCCTATATGATATGTCCATTGCCAGTGCTTTTGCGTCTGTGTACAGTGTACATGAGCAGGTCATCACCGAATGGAAACTGGCACGGGGCTGAGCACATCGCTGTTCGCATGCACGAGATCATCAGGTGATTTTACCGGCATGTGTCGGCTGTAGGTTTTTAACGTCTGAAGGTTCGGTATGTAAGGCACTTCGCAGCTGCTGTTGTGTGCCTTGCAAACTTGTCCAGCCATGCCGGTGTTGTTGATGCAGAGAGTAGGACAGCCCGTAGCATCTTTACAAAAGGACCTCCTGATCAGGGACCCCTCAGTCCAAGAGCCGATCGTGTGATGCCACGTGTCTGCCCTTGTCGGGAAGTCAAAAAAGCCAGAAACGAACGGCCAGAGACTTCAGAGCCAAACTGGGAGGATGAGAAGGTCGGTGATGGCGAAGGGATGGCCTCGCCCAGCACTCAAGAGCTCGGGGTGAATGGGCATGGAAGGGTTGGAATTCAGACATTGCCAAAGGAAGCATACCCGATGCTTGACGAGCCCTTTAAGGAGTTCCGTTCAGATAAGACTGGAGGATTGGTTTCTCACCCCTCGGAGATTGGAGGACTTTCATTCTGGATTGAGTTGTCCACCGAGGTTGGATGGCAACGCTTCTTGCTCAGACAAGCCTGCTGTGTGGTGGGTTAGTGTGTTGTGTTTGCGTATTTGCTCTTCCTCTTAGCGGGCAGACCTTGCTCAAAAATTGCCTCCAAACGGAAAGGTTTGTGGGCTCGTGATCGGCTTGCGAAATGCTTACGAGGCCGTGACATGCAATGATTGGGTTTATCTGCAGGTCTTTTCGAGCCCCGCTTTCCAAGTTTTTCCTCTGTCCACATGTGTGAGAAGATCACTGCACAACTGTTGGGCAGGGCATGATCACTTAGTGTGAGCATGACTTGACGGCGGTATTGGAATTTGACTGTTGTCTCGGCGAATAAGCGGTCACGCGAAAGCGGATGGGGTGACGGCCGGCTGGAAGGCATCAAGGGTTACATGCAGGATTTCGCGAATGCCATCTCTTTGGGTTTGGCAGGGCAATGTCAGATTAACCTGTGTGGGCTCCTGTGTGGACGAAGGGCAGCACTATGCTTCTAGCAGCTGGTGCTTGTCACGTGAAAGATAGCGAGCAGAGTTTGCCTGAAAAGTTGGCCTGTGCCCCATGGAACGATAGCAGTCTTGTGTTTGCGATCTTGCCTGGCTTGACATTTATTTAGTGCCGGAAACCAAGTCAAAGCTAAGCACGTACATGTTGACAGCAGAATAAGTGCTCGGCCACATGTTTTCCAAATTGCGTCGCATGGCGAGGGGCCGGCACCAAAATGCTTCGGGGTGGGGATTTGCAATTGCCGTTGTAAGACCGCACCGTACGTCTGTCCCACTGGCCTCTGATGTTTTGAGAGTGAGCTTTGGTCAAGATCCGCTAAGGACCTAGACATTAGCCCGACTGCCAGCAGTTCAACAGGACACGATTCGTGCTGGTGTCGCGCCGTCTTCATTGAAGTCGGGTGGCCTACCGTCTTTTTCCGGGTTTGGGTGAAGTTTCAGTGGCTCCGCAAGACTAGGTGTCGAAACGAAAGGAATCGTGCGCTGTTTGGGATGATCGTTCTGTGATTCTGAGGTTAATGTCACTGCCTCGGCGTAGATTCAGGGCTCTTGCAGGCTGGCACCGAATGACTAATCTCGGAAGTCGGACTTATGTCGATTACCCAGGCACGGGCAGATCGATCAAATGCCGATACCATCAGTGCCAACATAAAACTGCTCAGCTCATGGGTGCCGGTCATATTAATCTACAGTGAGATCCTATCAGTCCTATCAGTCGTGACCCAGGTGGTAGCATATCACCATTAACAACAACTTCGGCAGTAGTAGTGGTGGCAGCAACAGTAGCAGGAGGTGGCAGCAGCAGCAGCAGCAGCAGCAGCAGCAGCAGCAGCAGCAAAGAGCGGGAGTGGGAGCGGGAGCGGCAGTCGTAGCAGCAAGAGCAGCGGGAGCACGAACGGAGTAGCAGTAGCAGCAGCAGTAGCAGCAGCAGTAGCATCAGCAGTAGCAGTAGCAGTAGAAGTAGCAGTAGCGGTAGCAGTAGCAGCAGCAGTAGCAGCAGCAGTAGCAGTAGAGGTAGCAGTAGTAGCAAAAGTAGTACCTCGCCTGCTTTGTCAAGAGCGAGTGCTAGAACAGAGTAGTAGGAGCAGTAAGACAGTAAGAGCCGTAAGACCAGCAAGACTAGCAAGAGCATTTTGTAAGACTGGTACGAGTGGCCCGAGTAGCAGGAGCAGGAGGCATGGGAGTGGGAGGGAGTAACTGTAGTATGAGTCGCAGGAGTAGGAGGAGTAGGCGAGCACAAGCTGCCGCGAGAAAGTTCAACCAGGGGGAGTAGAAGAAGGAGTAAAATCGTCTTCTTGCCCCCTCGCGAGCCCAAGCCCTTGGATGAGTGCAGAGACTCAGTACATATTGGCCAAGCTGCGAGGTCGTGGCCATCTTGTGTGCGAAAGGCTCGGCAACAAAGTCTTTCATCTTCTCTGATTGTCAATGTGACGTTCGAGCACAGTACCGCCAGGATGTTCTCCAGGGTGACGCCCTCCCAAAGGTTGCAAAGAATTTGGGCAAGGCCGGCAGGTTGACATTGATGCCCCGGTTGTCAGTTGCCGGGACTCAACAGAACCAAGCCCATGTCGTTGACCTGTCGGCACTACAGCTAAACCGCCAGCAGGTTTCCTTCGGCTTAACCACAAAATTAGCCATTTGATGTGACTGCTCGGTTTCTGGGCTGTGGATATGCAAGTACTTTCAAGCTAGCATCGGGCGTCGCAGTTGAAGCTTCATTACAATTCTGAAGCTTGCCTGGCTCAGTGCCGGGACAAGGGTGAAACTTCTCTGTTAGAGTCGACATGCTGGAAGACCGAAGTACTTGCAAACCCAGGCCTGATGAAGCAAATGGCTGTGGTAGCTGTGCTGATGAAACTGGCCACGGTGATAGTTATGCCGATGATGATGATGATGATGATGACGATGGTGATGATGATGATGATGATGTTCTCGGTGATGATGACGATGGTGACAAAGATTATGATGCCGACCATTGACAATGACGTTGATGATGATGATAATGACGATGATTATAAATATGATGACGGTGCTGATCATGACCACGAGCCGATGGTGCGGTGCTGTTTCGAATTGCTTTCTTTTGTGTTTCCAATCTTTCATGTGTAACCATCTGGCACTGTCGTCACGGCGGTGACCAGGACGACCATATTGATGGTTATCGGGGATGATGATGATGGTGATGATTGGTTGATTGTGGCGATGATGGTTCCCATAGCGATGGTCATGTCGACTCTCATGGCGATGGTGACGGTGCCGATGATGGTGGCTGCGTGGTGCTGGTGGTGCCGGTGGTGCCGGTGGTGCTGGTGGTGGTAGTGCTGGTGGTGGTAGTGCTGGTGGTGGTAGTGCTGGTGGCGCTGGTGCTGGTGGTGCTGGCGGTGGTGGTGGCAGTGGTGACGGTGACAATACATATGGTGAAGGGGGCAATCACACACTGGCTGTCATCGACGTTGGTTTCGTTCATGCATTAGCTTTACGCACTTTGCACGAACTTGTGCAAATTTTGGCTGCGACAGTCGCCAACGAGGAGCATCAGCTCCGCCTTTGAACCCAAAGCCAAGCAGGCCCTAGCTGCACTCCCTGTGGGTGACCCCGTGCCTCCGCTGCCGGGCACTTGGAACGGCTCGCTGTTGAGTCGGAACAATGTTTCGTACTGTTTCTTCTTCTTCTTAAATCTCTCTGACTGGGCTGCCGTCGATAATGCGTACCTGCCACTTTACAAGTCGCGATCCAGCTGCGCGCGGGCTTAAAGTTGACGTAGAGCTAGCCCCGCAGCAAATCATCAGCCTTGGCTGCCGCTTGCCATCACATTGGTCTCAAGTGTTACAGGTCTCCGCGAGGACTGATTTAGCATTGCCCGTGACTTGATCCGTGCCTTGGAGCCATGTCCCGCATGAGCCGCAGCCAATGGACTCTGCCCTTGACCGTGTGCGGGACAGGGCGAAGGCTTCCAGTCTTTCCAGTGCCGCTCGGCTTCCATTGGGCAGGTGCATGAGACCAGACAGAAGACGCTTAGCCAACATGCGCAGCAAGGGCGGCATGTTGAAGGTGGATAGGCAAAATGCCACAGGCATCCCTCATTCTCTTCCCTCCGATAAGTAAAACCACGGATGTGAAAAAGAGAGGGGGGGGTGGCAGTCAGCGGAATTGCGCATGCACAGTGTAACCGTATCTTGTTCTTGACATGTGCAGAATGCCGGAGCGCTAATCACTAAGCTGCGGTATGTTCACACTATGGAGGATGCGCATGCGGGAGCTGTTGTTCCCAAATTCAATCGATCGCACGGACGCGATCGCTGGGTAGTCTTGTTTTAAGACACCTCAGGCAGCTCATTCCAAAAATTGGCTATCCCATCCTGGCTGCAGGCACGCCCCAACCCCAGCATCCTGGATGAGTTGCTCAGGTGGCTTCGCGTGGTGATTGGGACTTCGGGGTTCGGAAGACTTTGACTGCAGCTTGCACGACGTCCTGTAGTGCCCAGTTTGTGAGCCGTTGAGGCCAACAGGCTGTAGACAGTATTCTGTCAGTGAAGAGCAGTGGTCTTTCTTGCATCGCGATGCAGCTGGCGTCTAGGCTCGTTTCCATTCGTCGTTGCCAGACTCCTAAAACAGCTTCAGCATGTCATGCATTAACCAGCTTCGGCGAAGTTACCAAGCACAGATAAGCCTCATTTATCAGCATTGCGGAGTGTGCTGCCGCCGATTCTGCAATGAACGCGCACTGCGACTTACTCGTACCAGGAAAGGTGATTGAAGGTTCCAACGCGAAGCGCTCTGTGGTGGCCATGGCACGCTGCAGGGGCTGGGCTTCGAGCTGAGGCCAGGGAATGGGCTTTCGGGGCTCCTGAGGCGAGGAGATAAACAATGAGAGCGCAGCTTTTCGCATGCAACCTGTGTCGGGAAGTTCGACCATGCCATGGCAGGGGACCTTATCGCATGCCGCCAACGGTGCAGGGGCAAGTGGGCAGAGAAGCCTGGTTGCACTTGGCTTCTTGACTTCCGTTGGGCCGTGTAAATCAAGTTGATTGGGAACTCCTCACAGTGAGAAAAACTGAGGAAGTAGTTCCGTGTTTTTATCGATGCCGCTACTGCGGCCGATGGAAGGATGCCGGAGCCTTCAGCTCCGGCCAGGTCCAGTGGGCCAGCGAAAGCAATTTCTCCAGATCTCGGCGAGGGCGGCGGGAGCCCGTCTGCAGGGGCTGCGCCGGCTTCGCTTTGCACCTGGAGCGGGGCGTTTCCGAGACAGAGGTGGTAGGGAGCCTGCCCTTGGAATCCCGCTTCGCCTTGGTCATGATTTTTTCCGGGGAGTATCCGGGCCTACCAGAGTTCAACGAAGACATTCTACGCTGCATCTTTTCCTTCCTGATGGTGCGGGTTGCCCCTCGGCTTTCAGGTCAGCCTCCTCAGCCCTCCTGCAGTGCGTACTTTTGCCCAGCGCGCGACTCGTCAGACAGATATAGACTTCAGTGTGAAGATCTTTTCAGGCCCCATTCGTGGCAGATGTGGGAGATGGCACCTTTCGCTGCACCGTCTGCATTCGCGACTTCACCAGCTTGCCCAACGTCATGCAGCACATCGAAACATCAAAGCGCCATGTGCGCCCTAGCTGCACGCATCAGGTCAGTTGATGCAGCAGTCTGGCAATTTGCTGTTTGATTTGCACTTGGCAGTCACTACTCCAGTAATGTGGTTTTGGCTGCACGATAAACAGCAGCGATTGTCGTCCTGAGTCTTAGTGCACTACGAGAACAGACCGTTTCCTACAGCAAGGCATCATAGCTATGATGTGTGCTGCTCGTACGGGCGTTTTTTGCATTGACACTGCTACTGGGTCGTCTTTTCGGGAGACGGAATCACGACATGAGGCAGGCGCTGAAGGAGGCCGCGAGTCACGGCTGAGACCAGCGGGAGGAAAATGGTCGCATTTGGTCCAGTGGTGTGTCTGTGTGTGTGTGAGCGTGTGATGCTTGGTGCGCTGGGGAGGCCTGCGGCACCTGCCGAGCCTCCGCCTCCGGGCCCGGAGCGGCTGCCGGTCACCGGCCCTGGCGGTGTGCGCCTGCAGAGTAGGCAGCGAAAGCGGATCAATTCCCTTCAGTCACTTTTCGCTCTCTTATAGTGTGCTCGGCTGCCAGGCTGCAGGCATGGCTGTCCGAGGACTTTACATCGGCCTTTAGCCACGAGCTTCCATCTGCATCCTAGCTCGTCTGTCAAGTCTTGGGAATCTTCTACACGTCTTGCTGCTGAAGTCTGACAGAACCTCATTGGCAAAGGATGTGTTTCTCATGTTCATGTGTAGAGTATACGTCATCTAAGGTCTAAGGCTGTAAATTGCTTGCGGGGCCCAGTTTTCAGAAATTGCAGAGGAGGCGCCAGATCGCCATCTGCGGGAAGCACAGCTCAGCGCACGTGCAGATGGGCTGTGGCGAGTGGAGGCTGCCCAAGGGCCCAAGGGTTCGGGGGGAGAGCTCGAAGCGACTTCGAGCAGTAAATGTGCAGCCGTTTCGTTAATCAGAACAAGCTACGAGTAGCGCTTTTGCACGCGAAGGCGAAGCCTTGTGGGGTGAGGATGCAGGGTGAGATGAGGTTTGCTGGAGCTTTCTTTGTGAGAGTCTCAGGAGTTTGCCAAGCTGTCACACCCCTGCACGATTGTCCGTGACTGCCAGGAACGGCACCGTCCGGCCCCCAGCAAGGGTGCGGGCACGTTGCTGATGGGTTCAGTTCCGTGGTTCAGGGCTTCGCGTGATGCATTTCTTAAGTCTTGGCAGCCGAGGTAACTCAGCTCTGGATGTTTGGTCTTGCAGTTTCAGATGTCGAAACAAGAGCTGCTTTCAAGAGTTGAGGGAATTGGCAACTCCGAATTCCCATGAGTTCCCAGTCTGGCCTCCCCGATCCTCCAGTGGATTTTGCACCATAAAGGCTGCCGGAGACGAAGGGTTGAATGCTCCAAGCCGAGGTACGGTGCAAGCCGAGCTCGAAGGGAAGGTGCCCAGACGTGAGCTGTGGTGATTCTGGCGGTTGGTTTCGGAGACTTCTCTGCCTTCAGATGAGCACAGCTGTGCCGAGCCGCTTGACTGGCCGAATCTCCGGTTGAGATGTCACCGAGGCCCGTCGTGCTCAGCAGCAAAAAGCCGTCGCCAGCTCCGAGACGGCACGGCTCCAGATCGAGCGGGACAGGGCCTGCATAAGTGAAGTCGCATGGGCGTAAAACCTTGCAAACGTCTGGACGGATAAGCCTTTGGCGGGGCTTGATTCTCAATAGTCTGGGCAGTCGGCTCAAAAGGCCTTAGAGGCCTCAGGCCCGGCCATGGTTCATGGAGACAATGGAGACAGTTTGAAACAATCGAGGGCCTCAGCAGACTTGAGATAGTGAAGGATGACAGTTTAACCTTGGCGCACCAACGCCGCCTGGTATCCACAACGTAGCAGAGCGACAGCGCATAAAGAGCAGGCGTTGCTCCAACCCATCGTAGCCTTGCAGATGGCTCACTGTGCACGACGCGGTCAGAGAGGCACGTCTACCGAAATGCTTGCTGCAATGGCGGCGGCAAGAATCACAGCGACAGAGTAACTATGTTAGTATGGATAGCAACAGCCGCTGCTACCTGATTGCGACGACGGTGACGATAATGCCGACGATGGTGATAAAGGATGGAGGTGGCAATGATAGTGATGGTGCTCGCGATGACGATAGCAATGCCCTTTCGATGGCCATCGCGATAAGGCGATGCCGTTTGTGAACGTGATGATGCTTCTGCTGATCACGTTGATGATGATGACCATGATGAAAATGATGAACAGGATGAGGATGACGTTGGCAGGATGGCGGGGGTGATGATGATGCTGGGGATGGCGGTGACAATGATGTTCTGGATCGTGATCAGGATGATACGACGTTCCGATGACAAATGTTTGTGGTGATGACGATGCTGGCGGTGCTGGCGATGGTTGCCGGTGTCGTGGTTGGTAATGACGATGATGGTGATGATGATGATGATGCTGGTGGTGGTGGCGATGGTGGCTGTTCTGATGGTAGTGTCGTGGTTGATGATGATGGTTGCGATGGTGTCGGTGATGGTGATGAGGGAAAGAGCAACATGATGATGATGATGATCGTGGAAATCATGGCGTGGATGATAAGCATGATCATGACGTTGGTCGTGATGATGGTGACCCTACTGTTGTTGATGCTGATGACGCCGAGAATGAGGGCCAGCTTATGCTGCCCTCTCCCTTCCCTTACACTCCCGTCTTCTAACTCCTTCTCCCTGTGTCCCTCCTTCCTCTCTCCCTGTATCCATCTCGCTCTCGGGCTTAACCACTGTTGAATCCCTCACCAATCTCAACCTATTCACAACACAAGGGTGAGTGTGTGAGCGAATGGCATGAGTTGGACCAACGACGCCACAAGAAGCTCAAAGCTTGGCAGGCCATGTGGGCCATGCGCCTGTTGCTCGTCGCCGTGTGCCTGGCTTGGCTCACGTGCTGTGAAGGCGGCGGCGTCGGAAGCTTGTCGTGGGAGGTATCCTGATGGTGGGGCTCTGGTCGTTCCCAGTTCCCCATGTTTTTCATTGCAGCAAGGTGCAAGTCTGCAGTTAGCAGATCATA